AGAGAGAGAGAGAGAGAGAGAGAGAGAGATTGAGATTGAGATTGATTGCCTCCTACAGGCGCCCCAACCAGGGATTAAACCCGCAACCTAGGTATGTGCCCTGATCAGGAATGGAAGCCACAACTTTAGGTCTACCAGATGCTCCAACCAATTGAGTCACCTGCCAGGGCCCATTTAATGACTCCTGATACATAGTCCCAGTTTGCTTTGCCAAAGGGTCCATTGGTTCTTCACATTGTATACTAGCTTTAGCACAGTTTTGTAGTAGTTGGATGTTATGATGTGTTAAATAGCTAATAAGTGAAAGTGGCATGAGATGATTTCATCTCCATTTTTAGAATGATTTAATGCGATTTGTTAGTAGTAGTATATGTGAGAATTAGATTAATTCCTCATATTCATTTGGAAAATTGGTGCCTTAATTAAAAATGTGAAACACGCGAAACCTTTTTTTGGTGTCTGATGTTGTTTTGCTTGCATCTTTCCTGACAGCCTGCCAATGTTCACCGTGCTCAGGAAGTTTACCATCCCGCTGACTTTACTCCTGGAAACCATCATACTCGGGTGATTGCTTTTTCCTCGGTTCCTCCGACTCCTCTCTCCCTTCCCTGCAGTGGTTTTCCCTAGCAAATCCTCAACATCCCGTCCTCTTTCCAAACAGTTGATTTGAATTACCAGTAGCTGTAACTTAAGGACAAATAGTTCAACTTAAAAGCAGTCTCCTGTTTTCATGATTCCCTACCAACTTAACGAATGATTTGTTTTGTTTTATTAATCTTCACCAGAGGATATTTTTGCCCTTGATGTTCCTACAGAGAGTGGAAGTGAGGGGAAGAGACATATCAGTTGGTTGCCTCCCACACGCACCCTGACAGGGACTGGGGATTGAGCCTGCAACCCAGGTATCTGATCTTGACCGGGAATTGAACCTGGGACTCTTCAGTCCGAGGGCCAACACTCTATACACTGAGCCAAACTGGCTAGGGCGAGTGATTTTTAAAAAAATCCTCACCTAAGGATATGTTTTTATTGATTTGAGAGAGAGAGAGAGAGGAAGGGAGAGAGCAAAACATCGATAGGTTGCCTCCCACATGCACCCCCCACTAGGGATGGAGCCCACAACCTTTGGTGTATGGGATGACATCCAGCCAACTTTGCCACACTAACCAAGTCATGAGTGATGTTTTTATTGTAGTTTTACATTAGACAAATAATGCATGTTTGTGGTAGATATTTATAAAAAGCCACCACCACTACCAAACAGATGTAAATCTGTTTCCTGATCCAGAGGGAATGTACACTGATTTTGGAACACAGAGGGACAGTTGTCCACACAAAACTGTTAGGGTAGGAGGGGAGGTGATTCTGATGCAGAGATTATGATGTGACACAATCAGAGTAAGTTGATTTTTATAAGGTTGGTTTAGAAATTTCTCATAAGGATACTCAGGTTGACACTCAAAAAGGTCATTCCTGATTTGCTGTGAAGATTATTTAGCCATGAAATTTGGGTGGTGGCCCAGTTCTTTAAGTCCTGCTGTTGAATTTTATCTTAACCTTTGGATGCTTGATAAAGTACACACTGACTAGCCCTACCAGCACGAGCTGTCCTGCATTTTGTCTCAGCATCTCTCCAGTGAGAGCAGAGAAAGACACTCATAACCAGATTAAGGCAGTTGCTTAAGAAACGCAGTAAATTTGGTTTGACTTACTCAACTCCTTCAAGATACTTTTCTAATGCTTTCTCTAGGTAAAGCAGTATTCCTTAGATTTTAGCTATAAAACGGTTAACAATGTCTATTGTCAGTTTGTTTTAAAAATAGAATCCATATGTTTTCACGCTCCTTCTTTCCTTGGTCTGTCTGTCTGTCTAGCTAACCATCTATTTATCTGTGACAGGAAACAGTATCCCTTGAACATCATCATCAGTGTCTTTGCCATCGTTCTCGGCGCTTTCATAGCAGCTGGGTAAGACTTTGGGCAGTTTCTGCTCAGTAACTGCTTTGTGTTTTTGACAATAGGCCCAGCCCGCTCTCACTTTTATTTCCCATCTGGCTGAGCAGCCAAGAGACAGATCCGTTGATGTCAGGGGGACCCCCATGTGTTCTTGTGAAAGCCAAGCTGGATTCCATGTGGGCCAGAACATGTCTGAGGATATACAAAGAGAGCGTTATACGATATTAATGCAGCTTTCCTTCATAAAAAGGACTGAACTGTTTACTTTCATTACTGAGTATTTGTCTTCAGTATAAAATTTTACTTGAAAACTTGGGCATTTGATCAAGAAGAATAGCAGTTTCATAAAGCCCTTGAGTGCTGTGATGCCTGAGGAGTCAGTGTACCAAGGGCAGAACCTCTCATGAAAAGCTTAGGCATGTTTGAGACCTGAGCCAGTGCCAGTGCATGCCTCCGATCTTACTCCCCGATATGCAAGACCAGGAGTGAGAACTCCACGTTGGCATTTGAAAGCCCGTCTTAATCATGAAGACTTTTGCTCAAACAAAATCAGACGAGTCAAGTAGCTAAGAAAGGGGTGTGCTCTGTTAGCGTGCCCTCCTCCCACAGCGCTCCGGGGTCTCCCCGCAGCCTCCCCTTCTGGGTCTCAGAGCTCGGTGTGAAACCGCTGACCTAGAGCCAGTGGAAGACTTTTCCGGAAACTGGTTTATAAGAATGTCTGCGAGCCCGTGGTGAGGAATGGCACTTCAGGTGCTGCGTGCGGGAAAGCACATTCCAGAACCACTTGGTGGAAATTCAGCTCATCGTTAACCTGCGTGGCACCCTAATGAGCGGGAAGGGTGGCGTGCTTCCCAAATGTCCAACACAACCTGGGAGCCAGCTGGGAACATGAGTCTTGATTTCCCCCTTTCTCAGCACCCACAGCCTGGATACCATCCTGGTGGGTGACAAGCGCAGTTCCGAGCTGTAGGCCAGCTGAGACCCCACCTTCTCTCTTCTCACTGAGATTAACTCATCCAAATGCAAGGAATCCTAGAATGGACTCAGTTGGATCAGCCAACTCATGCTGCTGTAACAAACAGCCCCCACATCTCAGATCGGGGGTTTAGCATGCCACACATAGTCTGCTCCCGCCACGCTGCGAGCCAACACCAGTTCATGCTGTGTGTGCTCTGCTCAGTGTAGCTTCAGGGATCCAGGTTGAGGGACCCTGCCTACCCCAGGCCGGGAGAGGGCCTGTGGGGGACTGTGCACCAACTCTGCACACTTTGGCCCACAGAGATGAGTTAATTCCTCTGACATTTTATTTGCCAAATCGAGGCACATGTCCAGAAGAAGTTGAAATAGAATGTGTGTGAACAGCCCTAGATGAGCCACAAGGGTTAACCATGAATCTGCGCATTTATAAACAAGTAAGTTCTTCTCAAACCTCTGTGCTTTTACTACTGGCCTAAACAGATGATGTTCGGAACTACGCCCCCACCCCCAGCCCCCGAGAGATCTGAGAACTCTGGGGATCCCTCAGCTCCTGAGGAAGTGAGCTCCGCCTCCCTCCCTCCCTCCCTCGGAGAAGCCTGGCTGTTTGCTCATTCAGCTCTGCCAAGTTAGGGAACGGCCACCTTTTAAACACTGAGCCAAATGTGCGTAGGCAGGAGGTTTGAACCCTTATTTTTTTTTTTTTTGTCTTTTTTTTTATATTTTATTGGCCAAATGTGCGTAGGCAGGAGGTTTGAACCCTTATTTTGAGAGACTCTATTTCTGTGACTGAGCCAGAGAATTCTGATTTACGGTGATCTAAAATTAATTTACTTTCTCACAAATATATTTGTAGATGCTAATGCCAGTGGAAGCTTCAAGCAAAATCTAGTTTAATTTGCGTTCATATGTTGGTGCAGTTTTGGCCCCTCTCTACTCCCTCCTCTTTGGTTAGAAATCATCTTGTTTTGATGTTGAAGGGGATCAGGGTATGCTGCTCCAAAGTAGGCCACTTTGGCATAAGCATTATTTTGAGCAGAAGGCGGTGGAGAGTCAACAGGTGTAGGAATTCTCTGCCCTCCCCTTTCTGCCTACGAGCGGCCACACGTTTCCCGGTGAGGTGGCCGGTCCTCAGAATTCTGATTTACGGTGATCTAAAATTAATTTACTTTCTCACAAATATATTTGTAGATGCTAATGCCAGTGGCCGGTCCTCCCCAGGAACAGGAAGGCAGTTATTGTCCCGGGCGGTGAGGAGTCAGCATAACAGACCTCCCTCAAACAACCCTGCTCCTCCTGCGCTTCCCCAGGGATGTCCCGGTCCCTTTCCTGCAATGTATTTGTTCCTCCAAACCTAAACCCTCGTCTTTGTTAAAATGGTGTAGTCGCCCCTGAGTCCACAGCTTCATGGACTTCCACTTCGTCTCTGTGGACTCTGTACACATAAAATATGACTACAATTTGCATACCTAGTTCTGCTGCTCACCTGTCCATTGCCAGTCACATTCACAGGCCCCACTCACTGACCCTGAGAGGGCAGAGGACCTCCTGGGCGGTGTCTGTCTGTGACTTAGGACGTGGGTCTGATGCCGCCTGGAAGGTCCAGGGCAGCGGGATGAATGGCAGCCTGGCTGAGCGGCTGTTCTCTCTCCTCTCTACGCCACACGCCCCCCCACATTTTCATGCTAGTGTCACTATTTAAAGTGGGAATGGAGGAGAAGATCTTCGAACGAACGGGAAGAGGGGAGCCTTAGAGGAGCCGCAGAGAGAGCATGGGCCCCTGCTTGGCCTTTTTGACGGACAAGGTGCTGGGGGTGCGGTGTGTGACTGGGCACCAGATGGAGGTGTCAGTTTCTCCAGCGACTCCTCTTGCCCCAGTCACTGCCCAGCTGTCCCCACGGCTGGACCCTGGGGATGGCCCTGTTTGCTACAATAAGCAACGGCCGCTGGGTGTGTGGGAGAGTCATTCCCCTTAGAAAAGTGGAGCTCAGCAGACATGCCAGCTGGTCCGTCAGCAAAAGAAAGGGCTTTGCAGTTACAGGACCGTTAATGTCCTCTGGGTTTAAGCCATTCGCGATGGAGGCGAAGCCGCCTGATGGCCTGGTTTTGTTTGTCTGGAGGCCAAGCAGAGCATCGGGCATTCACCGTGGGGGGCGGGGGCGGGTGGTAATTACTAGCATCACCGCGGATTTGTCAAGGAAAGATGGACCAGGCGGCCGTGGGGGCCAAGCTGTGAGCTTCTGAATCACCCTCCTCTGCTCTCCCTCCCAGTTCCGACCTGGCCTTTAACTTGGAAGGCTACGTGTTTGTGCTCCTGAATGACATCTTCACGGCAGCGAATGGGGTCTACACGAAGCAGAAAATGGACCCGCAGGTACCATCTCTCCCTCCTGCGTCTCAGGCTGTGTCATCTGGCCCCTGAACTTACGTGAAAACAGAAAATGAGTTGTAAAGTTGGCAAGTAATGTAATTTACACAATGTCCCTCATTTCTTTTCAGTGATCTTGTCCATATAGTTTCTTGTGACTCCTCGCCTTGCAAAGTTTTGGTTGAAAATTAGATAGGATAGGAAAAGATGCCACTCTTTTGAAGCAAAGTCAGAATATATAAAAGGGATTGTTTTGAAAGGCAAATTAAAGTTAAAAGCAGCTTTTTCCCATCATCCTCTGCGACAGGGAGACTGAGAGCAACTCCAGCGTGAGAGTCTGGGATGAGGGCCACAGTGAAGTCTGCTGCTTCCCGGGGCCATTGTGACTTTCTGCCTAACTTCCTCAAACCTCCGTTTCCTCCTCTGTGGACAGACGACTGGAGCGGGCAGCGGCTAAGTCCTGTCCGCAGTCCCGCCTCGCTCAGTCCCGAGGGGCTGGTGGGCAGATGAGCTTTTCTTCTGAGTTGCTGCCTCCGTGGAGGCCCCAGCCCTCTCCCCACCCAGCTGTTCTGGCAACTCCGAGGACGAGCCAGACATGCGTTTCTTTGTTCCAAGTTCTTTGTGTCGCGTGAGGGGGTTGCTCTGATGACAGGCTCATTCCCACGCGCTGCGCTCACGGCGCTGCCTTTCTCTGCACAGCCATTTGTTCTTTGATGGTGGCAGTTTCACAAAAACAGGTTTGTTTCCTTTTGAGAATCACAGTATGTCACCCTGTATGGAAAGTGGTGGAGAAGTGGTGTAGCCACTTTAATGAAGTAAATTTATGGGAGATTGGGACATGAGATACCTGGCGTCTTAACCTGCGGTTCTTCAATGGAAAGAACAGATGTTTCTAAGGAGTTCTGTTTATATTAACTTTTTTTTTTTTTTAAAGAGCTCGCAAAGCCAAAGCTGGAACAATTTCCTTTCCTCCTTCCTTCTTCCTTCTTTCCTTCCTTCCTTCCTTCCTTCCTTATTGATTTCAGAGAGGAAGGGAGGGAGAGACAGAAGAAACAACAATGATGAGAGAGAATCATTGATTGGCTGCCTCCTACACGCCCCTTACTAGGGATCGAGCCCGTAACCTGGGCATGTGCCCCTGACCAGAATCAAACCCGGGACCCTTCAGTCCGCAGGCCGATGCTTTATCCACTGAGCCAAACTAGCTAGGGCAATATATTAACATTTTTTATGTTCTTTATTTTGTCCCAGAGTTCTTGTTTTTAATAGCCTGCTTTAAAAAATGTTAGAATGTCAGAGAAGGGTGGAACCTTGGAGGTCATCCATCTCCCTCCGTTTTATCTGTCCTTTTCGTGCGAAACAAATGTTTATTCTGAGATGACAGTGTCCTTGAAGGGGAGCACTTCATGCCAGAAATGTGCTGGAAATAGTCCACTACAGAGCTGGTCAGGGTGCTTGCTAACCGCACACACTCGCGGTAGCGATGGACCTGCTGCTGAGCGGAGTTTCCGTTGTGGCAGGAGCTGGGCAAGTACGGAGTGCTCTTCTACAACGCCTGCTTCATGATCGTCCCGACCCTCATCCTCAGCGTCTCCACCGGGGACCTCCGGCAGGTGAGCGTGAGCGCGGGGCTGCTCTCACCAGCAGCCGGCAGTTTCCATATGTAGCCTCGGGTGCCGCTGAAATAAAAGGGGAACAGGTTGCAGGGATTCCATGACAGCGGGATGGCCGACATCCCAGTATTGTCCTTTCCTGGCTGGAGGCTTTGGGGGAAGCCCCATGAAAGTCCGAGGGTGGGTCTCGCTACCCTTTGCTGGTGTGGGGAGCCTGGGGAAGCTACTCGACATAGACGGGGATTTTGACGTTAAAAGTGAACTTACTTATTTATTACCTTGATCAGGGACATTTTAAAACCTAGACAAGGGAGAGAGAATAACTCAATGAACTCCGGGGCCACCCAGCTTCCACGCTGCCTGGTCTCTTTCCATTCACCTGGCATCCCTCCCCTGTGCCCTCACTCCCACCCCTGGAAGGTTTTAAAGCAAGTTCCAGACATCGCGCCCTTTTGTCCCCATACCCCAGGCTCTGTGTTTAAATCTTGAGAAGGTATTTTTCTTTCGCTGTCGGCCCTGCTCCCATAGGCGCTGCACACCAGCGAGGGACAAACACGGTGGTGGGTCAGTGGGAATGCACGAGGCCCAGCTGGAGAGAGTGGGGGCCGGCTCTTAGGGGGGCATGTGGACACCAGCAGCGCGGGAATGCCCGCCCTGCCAGCCCTGCCTCAGAAGTTGCCAGCCACGCCGCCTCCAGGAGCGTTGCCTGCATCTTAGGCAGATGTTTAAGTTCAAGTGGAACACTAGGTGCTGGGCAAAACCTCGTCCATGTGGCCTCGGCCACCCCCCTGCTGCGGCGTTAACCCTCGAGTTGCTGGGCCTGGGCGTCCGAGCAGCCGGGCAGCGATCCTGGAGTTGGCGTCAGCGCGGCGGGGAGCACGCAGCCTGAGAGGCAGCCCCATCTGCTGTCCTTCAGGGGTTTGAAGGCTGCGGCTTCCGGGGCCTCCTGGGCTGATGCAGGGCTGATCGTTGTGTCTGAAGCTGAACTGTCTAACTTGCACAATTCCTCTCGGAAAACCAGGGGGCAGCAGGTGGGCTTGGCAGCGGCGCCCCTGGAGTCAACAGCCATGTCCATGTTTTCTATGGAGAACTGCCCAGCAACACCAGCTTTCATGCAGGGCTGCCAGGCGTAGCGGGGCTCACTGTTGGTGCAAGCACGCAGCCCCCTCGGGAGGAGCAGGCAGGACAGCTGAAAGCAGTCACTCTTCAGCCGCCATCCGCAGGCTCTGAGCCATGGACAAGGCGAGATTATGAGCCTCGGTGCAGTGGCCCTCGAAGCTTGTCCCATGTCATCGCCACGGAATCGAGTTTTTCCTTTGAAGTCCCTGAGTCCACCTGTGCTGACAGGTGGCGTTTCAGGGCTGTTGCAGATAAGGCCTGGGTTTCTTCCTTGAAGTCGAAATCTAGAAATTCCTAGAAACTCGTTCAACAGCTGATTGAAACTAAAAGCATACTTCCCGTAGGAGCAATATCATGAATGGCATGGTGGCCAGAAACGGAATTTTAGGTCCCTGTGAGCAAACCGGCTAAACAGTGTGTGATGACATGCGCCACGTTCTCCTGCTCGCCTGCCTCCGTCCGTTTGATCACCAGACCCCGGAAGAGCCTTGCGGGTGGAGGGCCTTTTCCTCGCCCACAGTTGAATCAGGACAGCTTCTCCCCGTGGGTCATTTTTCACCGGGGCTGCCTCCGTGTTAGATTGTGCACCAGACACCAGGAAGAAGGAATTTCTGTGCAGAGGTGTTAGTCTGCAGTGGGACACTGCGCTTTACTGGCCAAGTGTGGTTTGCACCAGGAGTCGATTCGTGAATTAGACTAAATGTCAGCTCCTGTTGTTGGTGGAGGGAGCACTTGCGGAGTCGGTTTTCCTGGCTGACTGGAGAGGGGCAGTGGTGTCAGGCGGGGGGTGAGCCTCTGTGTGGGGGTCCCTCCTGGGCCTCGACTTCACAGGCAGTTGGTCTGCCAGGAGCAGCGATTGCTAACAGATGGGGCCTCTGTGAAAACACTCAGTGGTGAACTTTCTTTAGTCATCTGAGTCAAAGTACTTATTTTAAAAAATTATTTTAAAAATTTAAGATTATGGTTGACACACAATAGTGTATTAGTTTCAGGCGTACAGTGTATTGATTAGACACTTACGTTTATATAACTTAAGAAGTGATCACCTGGGTAACTCCGGCATCCGTGCCCCTGACACCATCTGTAGTGATCACAATATTATTGACTATATTCCCCAGGCTGTACTTCACATTCCTGCGACTGTTTCTATACCTGGCAATGCGCCAAAGAACATTGAGTGTGTTATAGTTGATGAACTATAAGTATGCCTTTTTATGATTAGAAAGTCCTTAAATCCAAAATGGAAAGGATTCATACACCAACATATTTTTACAGTAATAATAAGTGTAAAGGAAGAAGTGCTCTATTGTTATTCATGAATTATTTTCTGTGTGTTTAAATAAATGTCGTGCTACCTTGTTTTTTAAAATGCTACCCACACAGCCTCATCATTATGAGAGACGAAACTAAAACCTGTCTTAACTTTCGGCGGCAAAGAATCCCGACGTTGTCATGACTCAGGAACATTCCTCCATCGCTGGTTAAGTGGCATCAGGCATAGAGAACTTCCATTCACTGTTCACACACATACCTGCCATTCTTTGGGGAGGTCAGTGTTTTAGTTGGGGGAGTGTGGTTTCCTCCTGTTCCCCATTTTATCTGACTTTCAGACACAGAGCCTTCCGTAGTTTCTGTTTGGTCCCGGCATCAGCCATGGGGATGTTTCTGCCCCTTTGATTGGCCTGGGGCTTGCCAGTCAGTATGACAGGTTTGTACTCATTGCATACTTTTCTTTCACAAGTAAGCATTTTTTTTTTGAAAAAAGTTTTAAGATGGAGACTTTCCAACCTATGCAGAAGGAGAGAGAATAGTGTAACAATCCCCATGTACCCAGCAACCAGTTTCAGAAATTATCAACATTTAATGTGTCTTTTTTTTTTTAATCCTCACCTGAAGATACCTTTTCCATTGATTTCCAGAGAGAGTGATTTTTTGTGGGGGGCGGGGGGATGGGGAGAGAGAGGGAGAGAGAGAGAGAGAGTGAGAGAGAGAGAGAGAGAAGACATTGATGTGAGAGAGACATTGATCGTGCACTGACTGCGGCTGGGAACCCTGCAACCTGGTACATGCCCTTGACCAGGAATCAAACTCCTGATCCTTTGGTCCTCAGGCTGATGCGCTAACTGCTGAGCCAAACGGGCCAGGGTATGTGTATCTTTTTGATAAGAGAGGTGGGCAAAGCATCACTAATGAAATGATGACAGTGAAATGTGACAAGGTTGTAGTAATCAGACGAGAGAATCCTACTTAATTGGTTTAAACAATTCGAATTATAAACTTAAGGATTTAAATAATTTTGAACATAAAATTATTAAAACTTGGCTAACAGTATTGCTTAACAGAAAGTGAGTAGAACTTACATTTAATCATGTTATTCAGCAATACTTATGTATAGTCTTGAGTCACCTTAAAATTATTTTTGGAGGCGGGCAAGAGACAAATCATGAATAAATACTCCTTTTTATTGTCACCTGTCATTTCAAGAGGTTTGATTTTATTTTCTCAGCTAGGGACTAAGAGCAGAAAGCGAGTCCTAAACTTCTCTGTCTACTGGCTCCTCCACCAAAGTACTTTATTGCTTCGTAAATAGCAAATAATTGTTTATATGTTTATGATACTTCCTAAGCATTTGCAAGTTCTTGAAAACTTAAAGTTTTCTTAAGTTCATAATTAATAATTAATGCCAGTATTATTAATTTTATAATAAACTTTCTTCTAAGGTTATTTTATAGAAAGTAAACCTAACCTGATTTTGTGACTACAATTTTAGTGAAGATTTAATAATAACCATAGCAACATAGCTACCATTTTGTTCTTGTCACCCGCAAGGTTCTAAACAATTTTATTAAATCCTCAGATCGATTTTTTGAGGAAGTTTTAAGAAAATAATCCTTATTTTGTAAAATGAACCTGAGGTTTTAGAGAAGAAAAGTAATTTGCCCAATCTCACATAACTGGTACTGCCTAGGATTTAAAAATATACATATTTTCTGTTTGGGAAATTGGTTCCTGTACTAAATAAAATGAACAATTTGGTAAAACCAGTAGATCTAAACTGTAATGTTATTAATCTAATCATTCATTTCCTTCAGGCTACTGAATTCAACCAATGGAAGAATGTCCTATTTATCATACAGTTTCTTCTTTCCTGTTTTTTGGGGTAAGAAATCATAGATAAGTACAAGCTTTGGTCTATGGCATCTCTTGACAGGTAATATAAAAAAATATGCATTCTCTCTGTTCTGTCAAAATTCCTTTGTTTGGGCTTCTCCACTTTTCTCTGGAAAGTACCCCTGTAGCAGAGGAGTGGACTGGGACCCATGTCACATGTCACATTCTATTCCAAACATGATGTTGCCTATTGATTTCCGACACTTAGTTTGACATGAAGCCAGCAGTTGGACATCCCCCAAGGGGTCCTGGACTGCAAGAGGGCGCAGACCAAGCTGAGGCACCCCTCCCCCCAGTGTACGAATGTCATGCACTGGGCTTCTAGTGTTATTATAAACTTGAAGAGAGACTTCTTTTCACTTGAACTTTACTATGTAACCATTCCATGAAGGGAATCAAGAAGTGAGCCCTCTGGGGGAGCTGTCCTGTAAGTGCTGTGGCCTGCGGAGCTGGGTGGGAGCTGTCACTCTCTGGGGCTTGACCCCATCTGTGTACAGTTCCATATACCACCCCCCCTATTTAATAAGTACTAATACAATAGTGTATTAGTTTCAGGCGTACAGTGTATTGATTAGACACATTTATATAACTTAAGAAGTGATCACCTGTGTAACTCCGGCATCCATGCCTCTGACACCATATGTAGTGATCACAATATTATTGACTATATTCCCCAGGCTGTACTTCACATTCCTGCGACTGTTTCTATACCTGGCAATGCGCCAAAGAACATTTAGTGTATTATAGTTGATGAACTATAAGTATGCCTTTTTATGATTAGAAAGTCCTTAAATCCAAAATGGAAAGGATTCATACACCAACATATTTTTACAGTAATAATAAGTGTAAAGGAAGAAGTGCTCTATTGTTATTCATGAATTATTTTCTGTGTGTTTAAATAAATGTCGTGCTACCTTGTTTTTTAAAATGCTACCCACACAGCCTCATCATTATGAGAGACGAAACTAAAACCTGTCTTAACTTTCGGCGGCAAAGAATCCCGACGTTGTCATGACTCAGGAACATTCCTCCATCGCCCCCTGGTTAAGTGGCATCAGGCATAGAGAACTTCCATTCACTGTTCACACACATACCTGCCATTCTTTGGGGAGGTCAGTGTTTTAGTTGGGGGAGTGTGGTTTCCTCCTGTTCCCCATTTTATCTGACTTTCAGACACAGAGCCTTCCGTAGTTTCTGCACTTGTTGTTTGTTGATTTGTTGATGATAGCCATTCTGACAGGTGTGAGATGATACCGCATTGTCGTTTTGATTTGCATCTCTCGTATAATTAGTGACTTTGAGCATGTTTTCATATGTCTTTCGGCCTTCTGTATGTCCTCTTTCGAAAAGTGTCTATCTAGGTCCATTGCCCATTTGTTGATTGGATTGTTTATCTTTCTATTGTTAAGTTGCATGAGTTCCCTGTAGGTCTCAGTTTTTTAAGTAGGTCTTTTGAGGACACTAAAATCATCACATCATTCTACCAGCTAAGTGTCTGAACTGTGGAATCAGATGGTCTGTGTTTCAGTTGTGACTTTGCCACTTATTATCAACTAGAGCAGTGGTCGGCAAACTCATTAGTCAACAGAGCCAAATATCAACAGTAAAACGATTGAAATTTCTTTTGAGAGCCAAATTTTTTAAACTTAAACTATATAGGTAGGTACATTGTTATTAACTTAATTAGGGTACTCCTAAGGCTTAAGAAGAGCCACACTCAAGGGGCCAAAAAGCCACATGTGGCTCGTGAGCCGCAGTTTGCCGACCACGGAACCAGATACCCGGTGCACGAAATTCATGCATGGGTGGGGGGAGGGTGTCCCTCAGCCTTGCCTGCACCCACTCCAATCTGGGACCCCTTGGGGGATGTCCAACTGCCGGTTTAGGCCTGATACCAGGGATTGGGCCTAAAGCGACAGTCGGACATCCTTCTCACAATCCGGGACTGCTGGCTCCTAAACACTTGCCTGCCTGCCTGCCTGCCTGATTACCCCTAACCGCTTCTGCCTGCCAGCCTGATCACCCCCTAACTGCTCCCCTGCTGGCCTGGTTGAAGCCTAACTGCTCCCCTGCCGGCCTGATAGCCCCCAACTGCCCTCCCTTGCCAGCCTGATAGCCCCCAGCTGCCCTCCCCTGCAGGCCTGGTCACCCCCAACTGCCGTCCCCTGCCAGCCTGGTTGTCCCCAACTGCCCTCCCCTGCTGGCCTGATGGCCCCCAACTGCCCTCCCCTACCGGCCTGGTCACACCCAACATCTCTCCCTTGCAGGCCTGGTCGCCCCCAAATGCCCTCCCCTGCAGGCCTGGTCCCCCACAACTGCCCTCCCCTGCCGGCCTGATCGCCCCTAACTGCCCTCCCCTGCTGGCCATCTTTTGGCGGCCATCTTGTGATGACATTGCACGTGACACCACTTAGGCTTTTATTATATAGGATGGTTCTTGGTTAAATTATTTAACCTTGTCAAGCCTCAGTTTTCTTACCTCTAAACTGGGAACAATGAGCTAAACATTAGCTGCTAAAGTATCTGATTTATAAGGTGGGCTTCTGTGAACTGAATGAGCTAAGAGCACTTAGAACAGTGCTAGACACATATAGAAATGCTCAATAAGTATTATATATTGTTAATATTTCTGTTTCTTGAGGCCAACCTGTTCAGTTTGGCTGTCCTCCCTCTCTCACTCTCTCTCTCTCTCTTAATTTCTGAGAATATGTTTTTATTGGTTTTAGAGGGAGGAAGGGAAAGAGAGAGAAACATCAATTGGATGCCTCCTGTACCCACCCCAACCAGGGATCAAACCCACAACCTAGGTAGGTGTCCTGCCCAGAAATCAGACCTGCAACCTATGGGACGACGCTCCAACCAACTGCACCACGCGGCCAGGGCTTGCTGTCCTTCGTTCATTCCGGATAGATCTGGGTCCACCTTAGCATGGATTTGAGAGTTTTCTTCTGTGGTGTACACTTTACTCCAGGGTCCAGTGTTCATTCTGAAGCTGCTCTAGAGAGAAGCTTCCATTTTGGCCTGGAGGGTTTTCCAGAACTTTCTGCAGTTTCCCACTTAAAGGACACTGGGATGGGCCCATTGCTTCTTCGCCGTAGTAGCAACCAGTGTGAGCTCTGAAAATGTCCTTGGGTTTCAGAACAACTGGCGCTGGGCTCGGGCTGTCCCTTCTCTCAGGTCCCTGCTCAAGGAGCGTCCACCCCAGACTCCGGAGGCCTCAGACGCTCAGCCTCCTACTTATAGTCACTGCTTTCAAGTTTGCATTTCAAACTTTTTCAACCACCAAACCTCTATTCCAAGTTGAAAATAAATTTAAAAAATTATAACACTTTAAAAATGTGATTTAAAAGCCAATGGAATGGTGAAGAAGAGGGTCTTTCTTTGGAGTTATGGTGAAGGGCTCAGCGTTAAGAAATGCTATCTGTAATCAGGAGTTTGTAAATAAAGCATATGACGGAGTGAAAGTGTGTCAGGAAGATAAGCGGGACTGTGGGAGCGAAGATTGTAACACACAGACTGGAAGTAAGCTGACCAGCTGGATTTTAAAAGCTGGTTCTGCAGGTCTTTTTAATCTCGCTGAGAAATGACAGGTTCCGATTCATACCGGCCACTGGCACCCGCCCCCAGGCCCGAGGACAATTATCCTAATATGTTTCTGCCCCAGTAACAGGCCCTTTAATCCCACGGAAGCAGTAATGTATTCCTTAATAAAAACACAAAAGCATCAAATTTCCCTACTTGGGGGATAAAAAGTGTTCTATTCTTTGAACTGTCATTGATACTGGCGAGATGCGGCATACGAGAGAAAACAGGATGCTGTGGATTGCTGGGCGATGGGACGGCAGAGCTTTGAGGTTTGCAGATATTCCCATAATTCCCCAGCAAACAAATCTTAGTGTATGATCGATGCTCTGGGAAGATGGGCCCTATTCATCCCATGACCAGCGTCCTCACACGTCACGGAGGCCTGGGGTTGAAGAGTCCTACCAGAGATGGCAAGATGAGAATTCTTGACATTCTTTGAAACCTGGAATTATAGAAGAGTCATGTTCCGAGTACCATTGTGGTCGGTGCAGGAGTGTTAAAGTGCCTTTTAGTATCTGAACATCTGTTTTGAATTTCTGTATATGCTTGTGCATGGGATGGTAACCAGCAGCAGGTTGTAAATGAGGTCATTTAAATTCTGCTTGTGACTGCCACCAGCGTGTCAGACAGGCTTGGGTAAATATTTGTGTGTGTGTGTCATTTGCAGAAACAGAAAGAAACCTTTGAGCAGGGGTTCTGGTCCAGGGCTGTCCACATGGGCACCTCTATCCCTTGGGCATAGCTGGCATATGCTATCTAAATAGCTGTATATCATATACTAGTGGGCCAGTGCACAAAATTCGTGCATGGGGGGGCTGTCCCTCAGCCTGGCCTGCACCCTCTTCAATCTGGGAACCCTTGGGGGATGTCTGACTGCCTGTGGGATCAGGCCTAAACCGGCAGTCAGACATCCCTCTTGCAATCAGGGACTGCTGGCTCCTAACCGCTCACCTGCCTGCCTGCCTGAT